CATTACAGTATTTTTAAGGTAATTTGCTCAAATTTTAACACTAGAATATTCAAGGGCATATCTATACATTAACTTGGTGTATTCCGATAATTAAATTTTCTTGAGTATTGTTTTTATTTGAACTCTCAACCTAACTCATGATATGGAATGAGCTTATTAGCCAATCCAATGTGTTACAAGGTTTTCCTATAATATATATATTTTTCCATATTCTTTCAAATTATATTTCTGACGGTTTTCTTAGGATATTTGTTTATGAATATTCTCCTCACAAAAATAGAAAATCATTTCATAAAAAATGGAAATAAATCATGCATGATTTTCCACACATAAACTACCATTTATAATTTTACTAATTCAACTAAGGAATTGAGGATAATTTAGCAAAATTTAGCGATAAAAATTTAGAAACACATTAACTAAAACTAACAATAAAAATTTAGCAAAATTGCATTTTCCAAACGGTCGGACAAAACAATCTTAAGTGACAATTCAACTAAGGAATTGAGGATAATTTAGCAAAATTTAGCGATAAAAATTTAGAAACACATTAACTAAAACTAACAATAAAAATTTAGTAAAATTGCATTTTCCAAACGGTCGGACAAAACAATCTTAAGTGACCAATCATCTTAAAATGACAAAGGTATTAACTTGAGTATTTAATAGTTTTGTGCTGTTGGTCTTTGATAAAAGGCATGAATAAAGATGTTAGCTTTGTATTTTTTTTTTAAAAGATATTGTTTTTTCAGTTTTTAAATAAAATTATCAATTTTTAATTTTTGTATTTAAAGATGTCAATTTTTAAATTTTTTTATTTAATATATTAATTTTCAACTTTTTTTTATTTAAGAATTAATTGAATGATGATATTAACTTAGTAAATGGACTTTTAATATTGAAAGTTAATATCTTTAAATAGAAAAAATTGAAAGTAAGTAAAAAGAGTTAAAAAGTTAACATTCTTATTTAAATACTAATAATATTAACATCCTTAAATAAAAAAAAATACAAAGTTAACATCCATATTTGCACATTTTCTCATTGGTTTTCTTAATAATTAATTGACAATTAAAATTTATTTACATAGTTGCGTTTTGCCCCAAATGTGTTTTTTTATAATTACCATCATTTTATGATTTTTGTTGATCAACTTAGTTGTCATATTTGGTTTTATCCCATTCATTTTAAATTTGATATTACATGTG